AAAAAAAAAACAAACAAACAAACAAACAAACAAATAACAACAAAAAAAAAAAAACACAAAACAAAACAAAACAAAACGAAAAAAAAAATGTGATGTTTTTTTTGCCGATTTGAACTTGGACGACGAGGATGTTGCCTTTCAGCTGTTTTTCTTGCCTGACTTGACAAACCTGCCTACGGAGTGATGTTTTTGCCCATTCGGAAGTGCACCTGTGACTTCAACGTACTTGCCCCTAAAATATTTGAAGTGCAAATGATGCACGGCAACGACAGTATGCTGCACCTCCTGGCAACGAGGCAGCTAAGCAGTGAGGCAATGAGAAGGCATTGACAAGGCGAACAACACAAGTCGAGGGCAAGGGCAGCCACTGGCGAGCAGCAACGGAAGAGCAGCACCAACAAGGCGGTCGGCTCTCACAGTATGGAACAGCGTAACAACGTCACCTATTAACACTACGAGTAGAACGCCGTGGACTATAGATCGACACCGCCATTAAAGTCAGGGAGTGACTTTGCAGAATGTTTATACAGTTTTCGAAAACATAGAAGCACTCGTACGCCAAAGATACTCGCACTGACTCTTTGGCACATCTTAAACCAGAAGTGCAACCAGGCCTCGACGCGCCTCACTGCGTACCAAGCTTTGCCGAACCGTTGGCGGCGCACTCTTTTTTCTTTTTTGGATAGTGCTGCCAGCCATTGTGGTCCGATAGGCCGGAGGCACGAAATTTTTGGGGTAGGCGATGAAATTTTTCCACAAGGGTGGGGTCGTGTGCTGGCGGTTCAAGTGTTCTCACATATACGAGAGGAAGAGTACGGGGGAAGAGAACAAAAGAAGGTGAATACTTTGAATGAGAAGAAGAAAAGACGACCTCACGCCCCCAACCACTGGGTTACAGGGCAGCGTGACCCACCCCTGCGGATTGGCTCTACCAGGCCTCACGCCCCCAACCACTGGGTTACAGGGCGGCGCTACCCATCCCGTCGTCTTGGTAGCAGCTTGTGGTCAGCCACTGGACTGCCTTCCACCCTCGATAGTTCCCCAGATCTCTCTACCAGACCTCTTACACCCACATAACTCAGGTTACAAGGCAGCACAACCAAACCCCGGCTCCGGCCAGCGTCGTTCTGGCATCAATCAACCTTAAACTCGTGGATATAATGGTGAAACCTGCCGTCGGACGATCCGCTGAACACCACCATCGCAACCAAGGTTTCGAAATATTCGGCTCCCTTCGTTTACTGGTCGTGCTCGACATACCCAGACCACCTAAACCCTCCCCCTAATCTCCACTTCGGCAAGACTTATCACGATGGAGCCACCATCTCCATCGTTGTTGTGCCCTATTTCTGTCCTACCAACTAGCCCCCTCGCTAGCAGGACGCGTCATATCCTTCCATCTGCTAACCCCACTTAGCCAAATGACACTCACCCCTACCTATGCGGCCCCAACATGGAGGGGTAAGCTGGAGAGAAAAAAAACCACCATCCAAAATCAAGTATTATCCCACACGATCAATGCAAAAACAAGGTACTATAACACAACTCTGCAGGGCAAAATTCCGACACTTACAAATTTAGGGTTTTCAACTCGATTAGAAGATCGATATCCATGCACGGAAATTGTTGCAGGAAAAGCAAAACTTAGATCAAAAATAGGATTCTACTATTTGAAATCACAGATTATGTCATCAGAAGCACAAAACATCAAATTGTGCGGCTGAATTTTGGTAGGAGATTAATTATGGTGTTTAAATAGACTTAGGAATCTTACGGCTCTGATTTTCGAATCCAAGTATACAAAAAGTCACTCAGAAAATTTACCAGATGTTGTAATCTGAAGACTAATGTAGACGATTACATGAGTACAGAACAAAGCAATCGATTGTAAACTTCGACCATCAATCTATTAAAAAAATATATATATTTCAGATCATCCGGCGAATGTTGAAATTAGCGACATTCAATTCACCATCCAAGAAGATATCAAGAAATAGACTAGGTTTCATTTTACAAAACAAAATCAAGCACCACCACCAATCAGACATCCCTAACAATCAAATCATCTATCGGAGTAGTACGTAGGGTTAAATTTTGAAAAAAATGCTGCACTCAGAGCTCCCGTCGCTACGTGACGCCGCCTTGAACTTCACATGAAGTCACCAATCGCTGCAGACCATCACGCACCGCTCTGCTCCCGCAGTCCCGTTGTCCAGCTGCCCAACCGTTGTCCAGACCAAACTCAGCCCCTGCCGCTTCCTATAGAAGGAGTCACTCCTCCTCCCTACAACCGGTGCTAGTATAGCCCTACAACAAAGTGCACCAACAAAGAGAGATTAGTGGGACACCCCGATCTCCCTGTTACTCCCCGAACGCGGTTGCATTGTGAATGACCATGCCAAGCCCATCAACACAACTCCACAAAGAATTCAGTCCAAATCCAATGACCC